AGTGTCAACGACATTCCGCTCCGGGACGGTCTCGATGACCCCGCGAACGAGGACGAGACCAATTCCCGATTCACTGCCATCAGCTTTAACGACAGAGATCAATAAAGATCTAGCGCAGCGAGGCCGTGGTCCAAGCGGTAGTAGCTGTAGGTCCAGAGGTGGATCCAGCACGCGAGGCGCTCGCACACCTAGCTCCACTCCGTCCGAGGAGGTACGAAAACCTCTGGCCACACCTAGGGTACCCTATACAGGTCGCACAGAGGTCACCAGAGTCTCCAGGACCGATAAAATGACCATGAGCGCGGACAACAAAGCGTTGGACACGTATGCAACCCTGCCCAGAAGGAACAGGAACAAGCTGGGCATCCCCAAGACCAGCGAGAAGACCGACAAGATGGCCAGGAGCAGGTCGGGTAGCAGAGATGTCAGTCTGAGCAGGCAGACTGATAAGAAGATCATTGGGAAAGACTGCACTGTCCATAAGAGCCTGCCGCCGTATCCTAGGCACAAAGTCGCCGAGAAGACGCGTATTTATCACGAGACCAGTGTCCAGACTGGTCTAACTGGTCAGGACATAGAAAACGCTTTGTCGGGCGTGCCTAGTGCGGTCGCGGGACCGGAAGTGGTCGAAAGACTGCACGAAGGCTGTCAGACAGAGGGCACGTGGGAGGACATGCAGGCCATGCAAAACGATCTGAAGAGATTGAACGGGGAGACGACCAGTCAGAGGGAGGAGAACGAGAAACTGAGGGCCGAGATCGTCGAGGTGAAACGTTCGCTCGAGGAGGAACAGGCGGATCACGCGTTCGCCAGGCAGGAGCTGGATAGAAACGCGCAACGGGTACTCGCGATGCTTGGAACGCCTCAGTCAGAGCATGCGGGTATGTTTTTGGATGTCGTGTATTTAATTGTAAGAGTGGGTGTGATTGAGGTTTGATTTTAGAGGGCAGCGACAGTTTTCTGGAGCTCGAGTGTCACTTGCAGTCTTCCGGGCAAGTGGTCGCTAACCAACAGTTGGAAATAGCGGATCTTCAGTCTTTGTGTCGTATGCTAAGTAGGGTGAGTTGTCGAGGAACATATACCGCGGCTGAAATGATTCACGCTTTTGGTAAATCGTTGACTTTGTATATATGTTCGCGAAGGATCTGGAGAAGAGCCTCGCTGCCCAGAAAGCGTTGCTGCAACAGCAACAAGAACTGGAGGCGGAGTCCGCCGAAATGCAAGACTTCCTTCAAGAAGAGAAAGCATCTCTGGCGGAATCACTGAAAGAGGCAGAGACTGAGGTATTTTTTTCTTTCACCAATACTGAAGCTTTGTTTATAAACGCCGATATATCCACGTCGTTTTTTTGATTCCCAGCTTTCCAAGAAGGAAGAGTTGCTGGTGACACGTGAACTGGAACTGGAAAGGCAAACCGACGAATGCAAGCATTTAGTGAGAATTAGCGAGCAACGAAGGTACGGGTGTTCCGTAGAGGAAACGTTTATCTTCGGTGTATTTGTCTGAACCGAGATTTTCTTCTGTTTATTCGTAGACAAGAAAATTTATCCATGAATATGAAGCTAAACGCTGTCGAACGACGAAGCAGGGAACTCCTACTTACGCAAGGAGCCGCCGTTTCAGGTGCTGCGGTAGCGCTTTCCGGTCTAGGAACTAGGCTAGAGGGTTTGGTAGACCAGTTGATAACTTCCTACAATATCTCTGTAAAAGATCTCGAGGTGAATACATAACGAGCCTCTTTATAGGACTATTATTGTTTTCTGTAGCGGAAAGTTATAAAGTATTTTCTTGTGCAGGATGTGATATATCACAATGAAGCGTACAGCAGGAGCAACAGCAGCATTGAGTCCAGCCCTGTTAGCTCTAAGCATAGTCTGAA